GATCTACGATATTGAAGACTGTCCAAGGATCTTCTGTAGGTGGTGAAAGAATTTAGTGCATCGTAAGGTGCAAATAAGTAGTGCTGAAAATACTTTGAACAGACTTCCTGTATTGCTTATGATTTGGTCGTTGGAAAGTTTTAAGATACGGGTCTAAAATCCCGCATGCAACGCAGATAAGATCCACAGATCAAATTCTATTATTAGAACAAGAAGTTCAATGACAAGTATAGTATAGTGTGTTTGACATTTGACTAAGTTAGATTAGTTTAAGTAGTTCTTAAGGAAAAATATTTTAGAATAAAATCGGAATTTAAATTTCAACCGAAGTTAAAGGTTGGACGTTTGATACTTTTCGGTTCGGTTCGCAAAGGAACTAGGTCATTCGTGTGATTCCACAGTTCCCTTACGTTCAATCGTTCACTTAATTCTCTTAAATGAACGAAGAGATCTAGTTGAACGATTGAATTACATCGAATTAGGTGAACGATAACAAAATGAACTAAATGAATGAAAGAGTGGGGTCTAGAACCGACCATTCCTTTTGAAAAATACTTCCGCCGAACTTCATTCCTAACTGTAATAGCGTAGCATTCAAATTTAATGAAAGAACGAAGGATGATGAAATAATATAATATAAGAAAATCGAAGGCGATCAAGAAGTTAGCATTGAGTAGGTCGGTATAGAATTTTCTCAAAGTCTTCTTAGGAAGGTCAATGAAACTTTCACAATTCAAAAAAGGAAACCGACGAAAAAGAATTCATGTTCTGCTTTACATCATGTAGTTCTATAATATTCCGGGTAATTTCACAGAGTCATTATGATAAGACTTGGAATTCTAGGTTGGCTGTTTTCTTCTCAAATAGATTTGGGAAATTTCGATCCTCAGCGGTTCGATCCTTTTCGGTTCGCTTTGCAAAAGAAACTAGTTTCAAAGTTTGGCAGTATTTTATATTTAGTCCCAAATTTTGAAAGAATTTTTCTCAAAAGAATTTGAAATGACAACCAAAGAAGAAGGTTGGATGTTCTCTTCTGAAGTAGATTTGAGCAATTTCGTACCTCAAGCAGTTCCATCTTTTTCGGTTCGTTCCGCAAAAGGATAGTTCCGCAAAAGGATAGTTCCTTCATTCTTTTAGTTCCACAGTTCCTTTTGATGAACGATTGGATCACAGTTCCACAGTTCCTTTTGATGAACGATTGGATCACAGGAAACGAGGTGAAGGATACCAAAAAATGAACGTCTGAAAACTTTCTCTACCTAAAAAATCTATATCAAGAAGTAAGGGAGACGATAAAATCTGACGAATTGACACCATTATCAGAAAATACAACTCTAAAAAAGGCGGATAGAAATGTTTATTTGTCAGAAAATACAAACCTGTAATACATTACCTGACTATCATATATGGTCTGTTCCCGTACTGCAAGGATCTACTCGATTTTACTATTTTCTTCGATATCATAAAGGAAAATTCGTTATCATAGTAAAAAGTTGTAGATTCTTGCAGTACGGGGACAGACCAATAGATCGTAAGACTGAAATACAACGGAGGAAAAAATTGAAGTCGATCCAAAAGAAAGCATAGAGAAGGTTGGGAGAGAATTTCATTGAAGTCGTCTAAAGACAACTATGGAATCTCAGTAGAAAATATAAGTGCAGGAAACGTTTTTGTTAGCCTATAAAAGGTCAGAAGATATTTCTAAAAGTTCTATACCGACTATCAAATAGATTGAGGTTGGGATAAAATATCCTCGAAGTCTTCATATAAGAAGTCTATTGTCCTATGGCGATGATCTGTGGGAGATCTAAGTATATAGAGCACATTTCTTTGGCCTATAAAAGGTCAGAGGTTATTATTCAAATCTAATGGATGAAATAAAATAAGATAGCATCAAGATGTTCGAATTGAGTAGGTTGAGAGAGGCGTTCCTCGAAGTTTTCCTAATGAAGTCTATTGTCTATGGGAGATTTGTTGAAGATCTAAGTGTAAGGAACATTTCTTTAGCGTATAAAAGGTAAGAGGATATTTCTAGAATTTCTATACTGACTATTAAATAGTTCGAAAAACTCAAATGTAAAAAAAAAAACAAAAATAAAATAAGAGAAATCGATCCAGAAGAAAGCATAGAAAGAGGTTTGGAAGAGAATTTCCTTGAAGTATTGTTATAGGAAGTCTATTATCTAAGGAAGATATGTGTGAGATCTAGGTGCAGGGAACATTTCTTCAGCCTATCAAACGACTGAGAATGCTTCTAGAAGTTCTATACCGATTATCAAATAGATCGAAAGACTCATATGTAACGGAGAAAATAAAAAAAGAGTTGATGATCATGAAGTTCGTATTGAGAAGGTTGGGATAGAACTTCCTTGAAGGCTTCTTATAGGAAGTCGAAGTCGATTGTATATGGAAGATTTGTAGAAAATCTAAGTGCAGGGAATATTTATTTAACTATAAAAGGTAAATCAATTCAGAAGAAAATACAGAGGTTGCGATAGATTTTTCTTGAAGAATTCTTATAGGTTGATGATCTGTGGGAGATATAAATGCAAGGAACATTTCTTTAGCATATAAAATGCCAGAGGAACTTCTAGAAGCTCGAAAAAATCGCAAGACTCAAATCTAACGGAGGATGTTAAATAAGAAAAATTAATTCAGAATAAAATAATGGGTTAAGAAAAATCAATTCAGAGATCTAAGTGTAGGGGATATTTCTTTAGCCTATAAAAGGTCTGAAAATATTTCTAGAGACTCTCCGAGAGAATCCGACTATCCAATGAGTCGTAAGACTTAAATATAACGGAGGAAACAAAATAAGAGAAGACGATCCAGAAGAAAGCATAGATAAGGAGGTTGGGAGAGAATTTCCTTGAAGTCTTCTTATAGAAAGTGCAGGGAATATTTCTTTATCTTCCAGAAGTACTATATGTGACGTAGGAAATAAAATGGAAGAAATCGATCCAGCATGGAGATAGAATTTAGGATAGAATATCCTTGGAGTCTTCTTACAGAAAGTGATGATCTGTAGAAGATCTAAGTATAGGAGGTATTTTGTCAGCTTAAGGAGGGGAACAAGAAGTTCACCAAATGACCCAGAGGGAAAAAGACTTAATTCGGAGTAGTTCTCTTATGCGCTCTTTTAAAGTTCAATATTATGATCTCTCGTTCCAATCTCCGAGTACAAATAGCCTACAGAACACGACACCACGTATCTTGAAGTTTTGAGGGCTAAAATACTCTGAAGAGCATGAAGAGTTCATCGTCCATCGATACACCTAAGTTAATTCGGTCAATAAACAGGAAGATCGGGTAGATTTAGTTTGTGTCTGGAAAATAAGAAATTTATATAGACGACCTTCACGAAGTTTATGATCCATAAGGCAGAGTAAGATTAGTTTAAGTAGTTCTTAGGTAAAAGGGTTTTACATTAAAAATCGGAATTTGAACCGCATTCGGAGTGAAGGGTTGGCTGAAAATTTTAACTAGTAAGCAAAGGAGAAGGTTGGCTGTTTCTTCCCAAGAAAATTTTGGCATGCGGTTCAATAATTTTTCAAAAGTAACTAGTTCCTTTTTCTCTCTGGAGCAAGAGAAATTTGGCAAATGAATTAACTGGGCATAGAACCGATCGTTTCCTTTTGTAGAATACGTTGTTTATTTTACGAAGTTATTGTTCAATTGGGCTGAGTTAGATTAGTTTAAGTAGTTCTTAAGCAAAAATGTTTTACAATAAAAAAATCGGAATTTAAACCACATCCGAATTGAAGGGTTGGCTGAAAATTTTACCTAGATAGCAAAGAAGAAGGTTTGCTGTTTTCTCCACAAGAAAATTTGGGCAAGCGGTTCGATCTTTTTCGGTTCGCTCTGCAAAAGGAACTAGTATCGTTTTTTTCTCTCTGGAGCTGGAGGAATTTGGTAAATGAATAAACTGGACCTAGGACCGATCGTTCCTTTTTGCAGAATACGTCCTTTCTTTTACGAAGCCTTTCTCCAATTGGGCTGAGTTAGATTAGATTTGAGTAGTTCTTAAGTACAAATTTTTTACAATAAAAAATCGGAATTTAAACCGCATCCGAAGTGAAGATTTGGCTGAAATTTTTAAATAGGAAGCAAAGAAGAAGGTTGGCTGTTTTCTTTTCGTTTCGGCAATCGATTCCATCTTTTTCGGTTCGCTCCGCAAAAGGAAGTAGTTCCTTTTTTCTCTGGAGCAAGATAAATTAGGTAATTGAAATAACTGGGAACGATCGGTTCCCTTTGGCGGAATAGGTCCTTTATTTTATTTATACAAGGTGGATAATCCGGACACTGATAATCCCTGAAAAGATTTTTCCAGTTCTTGTCAGGTTTTCAGTCTATTGCCTTCTGCCTTCAAGATCCCTATGACTTATTTCTATCTATAGAAACTTGTGTAGGTCCCAATAGAAGTTCTGCAGAAGAGAGTTTTGTGGGATTTTATATCGGATATTAGTAAAAGACCTGCAATCAAGTTCTCTAGAGAACCTAATAAAATATCGACTTCATAGAAGGCCCTTCGGAATACCTTTTACCTCAAAAGAGCCTGCAGAAGCTCCTCTATCAATTTCAGAACTTTGTTAAGCTCTATTACAACTAAGAGTCTCCATGAATTATGCTTATCTATAGAAGTTTTTTAAAGGACCCTATAGAAGTTATGCGGAAGAGAGTGTAGTGGGATTTTAAATAGGATAATCTCCGTAAGAGTTCTGCTATCAAGATCTCTAGAAATACTAAAAAATAACGACCTAATATAAGGTCTCTTGGGAAGACTTTTATCTTAAAAAAATACCAGCAAAAGAACTTCTATTTACTACCGAACTTTCAAGTTCTCTAGAGACCTTTTAGGAAGCATTTTTATATTAAATAAAGCCTGCAGAAGCTCCTCTATATTTTGAAGACCTCTTTTAAGCTCTACATACCTATAGAAGTCCCTATTTTTATTTTTTCACCAAACTAATTCCCTTTCTTTTCATCCCCCCCACTTCCAGGTCTCCCGTCTTGTCATTCTCCACGAAGAAGCCGAAGATGGCAATGCCATGCCCGATCTTAGCCGTCCGGTACAAGTTGTATCGGCTGCCGTTACCAATCTTGTTAAAGTTGGACGTGACACCATTAACAGTTCCGACGATAACATCCTGCGACAAGATATGCCAGCAGCATTGAATCGCGTTGAGACTGCCTCGCAGTTACTTGAAGAAGCTTCAGATATGTTGCGCGCCGATCCATATTCAGGGCCGGCACGCAAAAAGCTAATTGAAGGAAGCCGCGGTATACTGCAAGGCACCTCTTCGCTATTGCTTTGCTTTGATGAATCGGAGGTGCGTAAAATTATACAGGAATGTAAGAGGGTTCTCGATTATTTGGCCGTCGCCGAAGTCATCAATACCATGGAAGATTTGGTACAATTCCTGAAAGATTTATCACCCTGCCTGAGTAAGGTATCACGAGAGGTTGGGGCTCGTGAGAAGGAGTTGACACATCAGGTGCATAGTGAAATATTGGTGCGATGCTTGGAACAAGTTAAGATTTTGGCACCGATTTTAATCTGCAGCATGAAGGTGTATATCCACATTGTCGAACAGCAGGGTAAGGGGGTGGAAGAGGCCGCGGAGAATCGTAATTATTTGGCCTCGCGAATGAGTGATGAGATCCAGGAAATTATTCGGGTGCTCCAATTGACCACCTATGATGAAGATACCAGTGAATTGGATAATTTAACGGTGCTCAAGAAGCTGAGTAATGCCATTAACACGAAAGCGGAACTGGCCAATGATTGGTTGAATAATCCCTATGCCCTGAAGGGCGGAGTGGGCGAGAAGGCCCTGCGGCAAATTATCGATAATGCCAATGAAATATCGGAACGTTGTTTGCCACAAGATTCCTATCCCATTAGGCGTACAGCTGATGAAATTTCCGCAATGGCTAATAGCCTGTGTGAACTGCGTCAGGAGGGTAAGGGTACCTCACCTCAAGCTGAATCTTTGGCCAGGGCCATTAGAGAAAAATTGGGAGAATTACAATCGCAGATACAAAATGCCGTTGTCGGTGTAGATAAGGCGGGAGTGCAACAGACAGCCCACACCATCCAGGGTCGTTTGGAACAGGCTGTTAAATGGTTGCAGCATCCTGAGATCAATGATGGCGGCCTCGGTGAGCGGGCAGTGAATTTAATTGTGGAAGAAGGCCGCAAGGTGGCCGAGGGTTGCCCTGGCCATCAAAAGGCTGAGATTATGCAGCTCTGCGATGAAGTGGAACGTTTGAAACGTCAGGCTGCTGGTAACAGCCCCGCTGCCAAGGAGGCAGCCAAGAAGTTGACCCACAAGCTGCATGAGCTCAAGGAGGCCGTACAAAATGCTTTGGTCAATCGCATTGTGCAGGATTTCATGGATGTCAGCACTCCGCTGAAACAATTTACCGAGGCGGTGATGCTGCCCGAAGGTACCCCTGGACGGGAACAAAATTTCAATCAAAAATCCAATAATCTCCAAGCGTTTTCCGATCGTGCCTCAAAGACCTCCCGCATGGTGGCAGCGGGTGGTGCTTGCGGTAACAAGAAAATCGCCGAAATTTTATTATCCTCCGCTTCGCAGGTGGATTCCTTAACACCACAGCTAATCAATGCCGGGCGGATTCGTATGAATTACCCTGCCAGCAAGGCGGCCGATGAACATTTACAAAATCTCAAACAACAATATGCCGATACCGTGTTGCGTATGCGTACCGTTTGTGATCAGGCTACCGATCCGGCAGACTTCATTAAAACCTCCGAGGAACATATGCAAATGTATGCGAAGTTGTGTGAGGATGCCATCCATGGTAAACAGCCGCAGAAGATGGTGGATAACACTTCGAATATTGCCCGGCTCATCAATCGGGTGCTGTTGGTTGCCAAACAGGAGGCTGATAATTCGGAAGATCCACAATATACGGCGAAGTTGAATGCTGCCGCCAATCGTTTGGAAAGTTCCCTACCCGCCATGGTGGGAGATGCTAAGCGGGTGGCGACCAATATAAATGACCCTGCTGCCGCCCATGCATGGAAATCATCATTCCAAAGGGTGAGTAAGGAAATCGACATAACCTAAATATCATATTTTGAGGTTAGAAATTACAAACTAACCTCAAAATAGTGTTATTTTGAGGTTAGGTTATGAAAAAAAATTGCCATAACCTCAAAAACAAATTCGGAGGTTATGTTCCTCCATTCCACCCTTTGAATACTTATAATAACCTATTTCTTTTGTTTTCCATCCTCTCCAGTTATTGGGTGATGTCAAGGATGTACGCAATGCCATTGCACCACCCCAGCCACCACCATTGCCCCAGGTGCCACCACCACCAATTCCAGAATTCAGTGCCATGCATTTGTCCAATCAAAATGGTAAGAAGCAGAACCTAAAAGGATTTTGAAAACTTCAATTAAAAAAATCTCAATAGAAAAAAAAATTAGCTGAATTGAAATTTTCGTAGAAAAAATGTTGCTGAATTGCAATTTTATTAAGAAAAACTTGGCTGAATTAAAAATTTCCGAAGAAAAATGTAGCTGAATTAGGATTTTTTTCTAATATTAGCAGAATTATTAAAAAAATTATGAAAAATTTTGCTGAATTGCAATTTTATCAGGAAAAAATTAGCTGAATTCAAAATTTTCGCAGAAAACTGCAGCTGAATTAGGATTTTGTTCAAATATTTGCAGAATTATTTTTTTAAAGAACAAATTACTAAGAAAAAATTTGCTGAATTGCGATTTTATAAAGAAAAATTTTGCTGAATTTAAAATTTTCGGAGAAAATTGTAGCTGAATTAGGATTGACTTCAAATATTAGCAGAATTATTAAAAAAAATTAAGAAAAATGTTGCTGAATTGCGATTTTATTAAGAAAAATGTTGCTGAATTAAAAAATTTCCTCAGAAAAATTTAGCTGAATTAGGATTTTGTTCAAATATTAACAGAATTATTAAAAAAATTATGAAAAATTTGGCTGAATTGCGATTTTTTTCAGAAAAAAATTTGCTGAATTGAAAATTTCTTTATAAAAATTTAGCTAAATTAGGATTTTCTTCAAAAATTAGCAGAATTATTAAAGAAAAATAAGAAAAATTTTGCTGGATTGCGATTTTGATAAGAAAAATGTTGCTGAATTTAAAATTGCCGTAGAAAACTGTAGTTGAATTAGGATTTTGTTCAAATATTAACAGAAATATTTTTTTTAAGAAAAAATTATTAAGAAAAATTTTGCTGAATTGCGATTTTATTAAGAAAGATTTTGCTGAATTAAAAATTTTCGCAGAAAACCGTAGCTGAATTAGGATTTTGTTTAAAATATAAGCAGAAATTATGAAGAAAAAATTTTCTGAATTGCAATTTTATTAATAAAAAATTAGCTGAATTCAAAATTTTCGCAGAAAACTGTAGCTGAATTAGGATTTTGTTTAAATATTAGCTATACTAAGATGAAATTATTAAGAAAAAATGTTGCTAAATTGCAATTTTATTAAGAAAATTTTTGCTGAATTAAAAAATGTCCTTAGAAAAATTTAGCTGAATTGGAATTTTCTTCGAATATTAGCAGAATTTTTTTTTGTAAGAAAAATTTTGTTGAATTTAAAATGTCCTTAGAAAACTGTAATTGAATTAGGATTTTGTTAAAATATTAACAGAACTATATATTTTTTATTGAAATTTGATGAATTAATATTTTCTGCTCAACATAATTTAGTTGAATTACTAATATATATCAAAAATATAGCTGAATTGACAATTTTTGTGAAAAAAAATGTAGCTGAATTGCAATTTTCTAAAGAAAAATGTTTGCTGAATTGAGTTTTTCTTTTTAAAAATTTGCTGAATTGAGAATTTCTATAGAAAAAATTAGCTGAATGAAAATTTTCTGCGGGAAAAGAAGCAAATTTGATATTTTTCGCTACAAAAATTAGGAATTATTTCATTAAAGTTTTAATTGATATTTTCCTTTATAAAATGTAGCTGAATTTATTAAAAACAATTGCTGAATTGGCATTTTCTACTAAAAAAGATAGCTGAATTGCAATTTCCTTAAGAAAAAAGTTTGCTGAATTGAGTTTTTCGTTTGTAAAATTAGCTGAATTGCGAATTTCTATAGAAAAAAATTAGCTGAATAAAAATTTACTAGACAAAAAATTTATAATTCAGTTTTTCGCTACAAAAATTAGAAATTATTTGTTTAATGTTGCTGAATTGACATTTTCCTTAAAATAATTTAGCTGAATGATTTATAAAAACTATGACAAAATTGTAAATTTTTCTAAAGGAGAGTAGCTGAATTGCCATTTTATAAACGAAAATGTTAGTTGAACTCAAATTTCGTTTTAAAAATTTGCTGAATTATGACTTTCTATAGAAAAAAATTAGCTGAATGAAAATTTTCTAAGGGAGTAGATGGAAATAATGTTTTTTGGCTACAAAAATTAGGACTTATTTATTTAAAGTTTGCTGAATTGATATTTTATTTTACAAAATTTAGCTGAATTACGATTATGTGTAACAAATATAGCTGAATTGACATATTTTTTGAAAAAATGTAATTTAAATGCGATTTTTTAAAGAAAAATGTTTGCTAAATTGTATTTTTCTTTTTTAGTATTAGCTGAATTGCATTTTTCTATGGAAATAGTTAGCTTAATTGAATTTTTTTCTATAAAATTAGCTAATTTGGAAATTTCAATTGAAAAAGTTAGCTGAATTGCTGTTTTCATATAGAATAGCTATGCTCAATAGATGTTCTTTATGAAAAAATTAGCTGAATTGATTTTTGCTATAAAATAAGTTAGCTGAATAGACTTTTTTCCACAAAAATATTTGCTGATTTCACTTTTCCTATGATAAAACTCAGCTGAATTGATTTTTTTATTTAAAAAAAATATGTCTCTTACTGAAAACAATTAGCTGAATTGAATTTTTCATGGCATAAGTCAGCTGAATAAAGGTTTTTGGTGCAAACAATGTTGTTGAATTGACTTTTTCCCACAAAGATGTTGGCTGAATTCACTTTTCCTACGACAAAACTTCGCTGAATTGATTTTTTTGTTTAAAAAAGTTAATTTAATTTCCGTTCTCTACTGGAAAAAATTAGCTGAATTGATTTTTATCAATACTTAAGTCAGCTGAATTAGGATTTTTGGTGTGAAAATGTTGTTAAATTCATTTTTTCCACAAAAATGTTTGCTGAATACACTTCTCTTAATGTAAAACTCAGCTGAATTGATTTTTTATTTAATATAGTATGTTAAATTGATGTTTTCTAATGAAAAAGATTAGCTGAATTAATTTGTTGTTGAATGTTTAATTTAATATTTATCCATTTCCAGCTGAACGTGCACCACCCCGTCCACCACTACCCCGTGAAGGTTTGGCACCACAACGTCCACCACCACCAGAGACCGATGATGAAGATGAGGGTGTCTTCCGTACCATGCCACATGCTAATCAACCGATTTTGGTAAGTCGTTTGAGAATTTCTGACAACTATAAAAGAAATAGTGATATTCAAAAAGAAAATTATAAAAAAAATCGGGCATAACCTAAAAACTCAAAATATACAGAAATTGCATAAAAAGGTGCAATAAAATTCAATATGGAAAATTTGGAAACAGCTTTAGTCTAAATGCCAGTATAAATACTCAAATGATAATAGGTCACCAAAAATCAAAATATTTTCGGTCATAACCTCAAATTTGAGAAAAAATATTTTTTTTAAATAGTTACAAAAAATGAACGAATTTGGTAAAAATAGAGATAGATTATTTATTGAATGACAGTGGTAGAGCAAATATGTAATATTTTGCTTAAATAAAAAATTAAAAATAGTTCGTACCTAACCTCAAATATTTAGAAATCGTTATTATGCTAATAATAGCCGTAGATATAGTTTCACATTTAAATAGCTAGCTTTTTTATTTATTTGTAAAATGAAATCATTCTTTTTAAACAAAAAAAAATTAATCAAAATCAACTCTAACCTCAAATTCAATGGCAAATTAAAATAACATAACCTTAATTTTGTATGACTTTAACCTACAAATTTTTAATAGCACACATGTGATTTAAAAAGCGATAATAAATATAAGGTAAATTACACCTAAACTGGCACTCTATATTTTATTCAGAATAATTACTCTTCACGATCCACGATCGATATTACCCTTTCGCCACAATACGACTTAGATATTACCCTGTTAGATGTCTCACGTAGATGGTGCACTACATATACTACAATTTAGTTGATGGCTTGCTCTCTCACATACACACACACATTTTTTATTCAAAATTCTAAGTAGATTACCTAGAGGTATGAAGTAGATTTTTTAGTGGTACAAATACCTCCAGAACCGGAAGCTTTCCCTTATGTTGTTATGTGACTTTCAAATGGCTAGACCCATAAATAATTAACTCCTTTAAAAAATATAAATAAATATATTTTTTGAGCTACAAGCAACCTCCAGGGCCGGACATCGTCTCGCCTTACGTAGATCACCATGAAGTTTTAAATTGCTATTAGAGTACCATATAGGCTAGACCCCCTAAACATTTATATTCCCATAAAAAATACATAATTTTTTTCCATTACAATTTTTATTAATCCATTTTTTATTATCCCTCCCCCTAGATTGCCGCCCGTGGCCTCCATCAAGAAGTCCGCCAGTGGTCATCGAAAGACAATGAAATTATTGCCGCTGCCAAGCGAATGGCCATTCTCATGGCACGTCTCTCCGATTTGGTTCAATCCGATTCACGTGGCAGTAAACGTGAACTGATTGCCACCGCCAAACAAATTGCCGAAGCTTCAGAGGATGTAACTCGGCTAGCTAAGGAGCTGGCACGACAATGTACCGATCGTCGTATACGTACCAATCTCCTGCAAGTTTGTGAACGTATACCCACAATTGGTACACAATTGAAGATATTGTCAACCGTAAAAGCCACCATGTTGGGGGCCCAGGGCTCAGATGAAGATCGTGAGGCTACCGAGATGTTGGTTGGCAATGCCCAAAATCTTATGCAGAGTGTAAGTAGATAATCGATAATATTTTTCTTATATTTCAATCTAATTGATTTTTTTTCATTTTTTATAGGTCAAAGAAACTGTTCGTGCTGCTGAGGGTGCTAGCATTAAAATCCGTTCCGATCACACCAATCGCCTACAATGGGTGCGCCGCCAGCCATGGTATCAATACTAAGAATAATGGTGGCCAACAAAAACAAACAAACAAATCATAAAAACAATTTTTGTATAGGTTTCTATTTTTTTATCAATTATTTTCTACTTAAAAAAGCAACAACAACAACAAAACAAACAAAACCTCTAACATAAGTGCCTTAAATAACAACAACAAAAACAAGAATATTTGATATTTATTTAATTATTTGTGCTTATATGGTGTTCGGTCATCCCAGAGGTGACTGCCCTGCTGCCTTTGAAAAAAAACTAATTGTCATTGTCGTCGTCGTTATTTTTTTTCTCTGTTAATTTTAAGATTTTTACAACGAATACCACAACAACAACAATAAAGTGTCCCGCCTTTTAAAAAATTGTGTCAGATATTAACAAATAAAATCTCAATTTATAACAACAACAACAACTAAAATATGTATGTGCAATAATAAAAAAACATTTTGGCTGCTCATTTCGGCTTAAAGGCCACCCAACACGTTGAGAAGGGGGTAGGAGGAGGGTTTAAACCCGGTTTTTTTTTTAATTACAATTAAACCACTTATACCGAAATCAGATACAGAAAAGTCTCATGGAACAAAGAGCCACGAAAGTTTCTATTATTTCGCAGAAGGAAGATTCTTCCTCTTCTTCTTCTCTAACTCCGAAGAGAGGCGAGTCGATCAAAAGAGGAATAGTTTAGAATTTTAAAATCGATTATAATTTCATAGAATTATTTATAATTTTCAATCCTTCCCTTTCTGGGCGCCCTCCTCAATGTGTTGAATAACAAACTTTAAGACCGAAAGCATTTAATTTGAAAATTTTCTAAAAATAAATGATAAAAAACAAAACCCCGTATTACTAACATAATTATTTTCATTTCGAATTGAATTATAATTTAAATACAACTGTGTGTTATTAAATAAACTTAAAAAATAAATAAAATAAAAAAGAAAACAAATTGTTTTATTCAAAAATTAAAAAAAAGACGGACGTCACCTCAAAATTAATAGCGATTTTTTTAATTCTTTTGGTCAAAATATATAATAATTAACTAAATGGCAATATAACTTTTTTTTATTCAAAGTATAATGTAAGCAACCTAACCTCAATATAAATATTTCTATATTCCGAAATAGAAGATGAAAAAATAGCTGCGGCATTACATAATTATTTTCATTTCGTATTGAATTATAATTTACATACAACTGAGTGTTATTAAATAAAAAATAAAAACAAAATGAATTAAAAAAATAATTTATTTTATTTAAATAGGGTCGGACATAACCTCAAAATTTATTTATTAACTAAATAGCAAAATGACAATTATTATAAACTTATAATGTAATAATTCAGTAAATTTTTATAGAAAAAATTGAAACATATTCGGACCTAACCTCAAAACTTAAAATTTCTATTTTACTAACATATGGTCTGTTCCAATTCTTTTTCAATAGTAAATCTAGTAAAAGGGAATAATGTCAAAATCTCTCTCAGAGTACAAAAATTTCGAAAAGTTCGGGAACTGGAATCTAGTAAATATTTCAAAATTAGATGTCTTTACTTCAAAATCAAAACAACAGCCAATCAGAAGTTAGCATTTCTGGTTACCATTTAATTATTTTCATTTGAAATTGAATACTAATTTACATACAATGGTGTGTGTTTTTAAATAAAATTGAAAAAAAAAATAAAAATAAATAAATTAAAAAAACAGAAAACAAGTTATTTTATTTAAATAGGATCGAACTTAACCTCAAAATTTATAAAGAATTGTCCTTTATTTTTCTGAAGATTTAATACACTATTAAATAAATGACAATATAAAATAAATTAAATATATAAAATATATTACAAGCATGCGATGTAATAATGGAATCTTCTTTTTTTAAACTGAGAAAAAAATCACACCTAACCTCAAAATTAAAATTTCTATATAGATGCTGAAAAAAGCTGGTATATTACAAATAATCTAATGTATTACTAACATAATTATTATCATTTCGAATTAAAATATAATTTACATGCATTTACATATAAAGATCGAACCTAACCTCAAAATTTATAGCGATTTTCGAAATATATTCCCTTATTAACTATAGAGCAATATGACATTTTCTATAAACCTATAATGTAATAATTGAGCAACTTTTTAAAAATCATTGAAATACATTCGGACCTAACCTGAAAATTAAAATTTCTATATTATCAACATAATTATTTTCATTTCGAATTGAATTATTAATGATTAAAAAATGAATAAAAACAAATAAGTTGTTTTATTTAAAAATTAAAAAAGGTCAAACCTAAACCCAAAATTGATAGCGAATTTTTTTTTTTTTTTTTTTTTTTGAACTAGCTAAATAACAATATAACATTTATTATAAACTAAACTAAGAACTGAACTTCTCCGTTTTGTAATTATCCTCTCTCAATGATTGTTGCCTGATTAGTTTGCCAGCCTCGCCAGATAAATTGGTTTTGAGATGCCTCATTTTTTGAAGGAATTGTTACCTTCGGTAGTGGGAGTGAACTGTGTGCTATAATGTCACTCGCCAAATGAGGTGCAATGGTCACGGTTTCGATGCATTTGTCTTTCAGGATTGCTAGTTTTATTAAGTTGTCTTGTACTGAATCTTCCATCGTAGCTTTCTTGATTCAATCCAATTTTCGATGGATCTTCAATCTGTTGCATTCATCGTAGAGCTCCGTTATTTGATTCCATAGCCTTTTTATAGTATCTTCTTTGATGCTATAAAATTTCTTTGGCTGTTCAACATCGATTGTGCCCAATCCTTGGAAATGGCGACTAAGGGCACTCATTCGAGTATTTATCATTCTGGCAAGTCCATCGACACGGAAAGGTATTTTGTCTCCTGAAACAACTTCAGTCGATTTCTCTCTCAAGGTGGGAACTGCCGTACTTTTAGCAGACATCAGTTTCTTCATTTCCGCGTCTATATATTCCATATATTCCATTGTTGAACTGAACATCTATCGAATCGTTCTATATAGATTCCGAGCAATATACGGGTCATCCTCTGACAAAGATAGATCATCACAGATTCTGTTTTCTGCCTTCTCAAAACTCTGCCATAATAGCCTTAGTTTGCCCTTGTAAAACTCTTCCGTTCTTCTTTCAAGCGAAGCTTTCTTTATAGTTGAGACGATTTTTTCTAAATTAATGCCTCTTTCTTCTTGCTGAGAAATAAGCTCTTGGGCGTTTGCCATTGTTTGCTACTCGCTAGCAATTTCCTCCTGTTTTCTCCTCCAGAGCTCTAAAAGGAGGTTTTTGAATTTGTACGCGTAAACTTATATTGTAAAGTGTTCTTTATAAACATGGACCGACCTCACACCTAACCTCGAAAATTAACATTTTCTATGATATGTTGTTAAAATAATATTTATTTAATAGCAAATATGAATATGGGTTAATTTTAATGATTACAAATAATAAATAAGTGAATTTTTACCACACATTAGAAAATGATCGTTTCTAACCTCAAACTTAAAAATTAATACATTAGTAATAAATACATCGAATGTTGGGCAACTATCTAAATAGCTCGTTTATAGTCCATCTAGCAAAATAGAATTCAGTCTTTTAATTAAAAAAATAATGAAAAATCAACTCTAACCTCAAATTCAACTCCAAAATAGATTTCTTATAACCTCAATTTTAAAACGGATTTAACGTTCATATTTTAATAGCATACGAATAGAAGGACCGCATGTCTCGTCCCTCGCTACTACAATTGTTTGTGTGAGTATTTGAGATGGAACATCAGTCGACATGCTTTCTTGACTGAGGAGCCGATTTTCCTAATTAAATCGAGAGAAGGGTCCGTAAGTCTCTCCAGGCTCGAGAGTTTTACTGAAGATTCCCTACGCATTTTTGGGGATTTTTCCTGCGGATTCCATAGAAGATTTTTGTATGAAGATTTGAGTTCGACAATTGGTAGTAGTGTCATAGCAAGGGCTTAGGTAAATTATTGAATCGCAGAGGTATCAACAAGGCTTTGTTCGCAACTATATCAACTGCAAACCTGATGGGCACGAAGTCGCCTAACAACCCAGAAATGAGGTGACATAAGACCTAGGAATTGGTTACATAGGAGTGCTAATTTTGGGCAACCGGTCATTTCCTCCGAGACTCTCCCCCAAAAGCCGCTGACTTTACGCGACTGTTTAATTAGATTTCCAGTTAACCAACTTGTGGACACGTCTGATAGCATTCAGCTCGGCTTCCTGTAGACGAATCGTTAGAATGGTTGGTTAGAATAGAATAGTTGGTTGGTTAGAATAGGACCAACATTGATTTTCTGGATCTTTGTAGTAACCAAATTGGAACATGTTTGCTAAGGATGAAACCTCTCATTGTCTGAAATTCCTGAAGGATCTTGATTGAGATTTTAATTGGATTTTAGGTTATTATCGGATACCACTTCTTCATGCATAGTTTTCACGCAGTGCACCATCGGCGATCTATTGACGTATTGGATGCCTTCACGTTAGCAATTAAATTTCAAATGAGTTGTGTCTTAGGCGCCAGATTTTCCCATATAATTCATGCATGATATTTTTCCTGACAAAAATTTGGATTGAAGATCAACTTCTAGAAAAATCATAGTAGGTACCACCATAATCAAGCTACTGTAAACTTATCAAACGCCCTTTCCATTAAAAGAAAACTTAATTTCTTTTAATATTTAACATTTTTAAAAACATTTTATTTAAAAAAATTGAAATACATCATGTTTAGATGTGTGTGTATGTGTGTACACACATCTTAGTAATTGGCAGTTCAGTTTTTTTCTCTTCATAGTTTTTAATATTTTAAGTACAGGGTTTTTTAAAAATTTGGTTTTAATCTACAATGGAATTAAAAAACAGAACAATTTTAAATAGTTTACTTTCTTTTGTTTTTCAAATAACAATTGGTTCATAGGAGACTATATATAATAATTTAATAATCTATAAATGTTCAAAAAACTTTAATGCTTATTACTTTATCAAAACGACGATTTTTTGTTTGAAAATCTCAGCAGTTACTCTGTTTAATACTTATAAACCTAGGGGGCTATATAATGCAACAATCAGTTGTTCTTCTTTTTTCTTGTATCCTTAAAGGAATTTTGTTTTGGAACTTATACTACATTCTTGGCATCACGTGGTATGCGATGCGTTAAATATTGGGCCGGCATAAAACCCGTATCCCCCAAATATTTAATATTCACATTTCCAGAAGGTTGTATGGTTAGCCATGTAATAGAGGCGTGGTTTATGGAAATTCGCAACCATGCTTCGGGGGGGAATTGCAGGGCACGACAAACAAAATAACGTATAACATTACCATGGCCCACAATTAATGTGTACGTATCATGTTTATCCGAGGGTGAGGCACGATGGAAATAACGTCGAAAACCAGCTTCGATGCGGGCACCATCACGAAAGAACTGCTGCATGGGAGTCATAAATTAAAAACAAAAAACATTATTAAATAACATTTTAAAAGATAGTAATCTGTGAAAACTCACCGATTCCTCTGGCCTCCAATGACCCACCGGGGGCTGGGGTGGTATCGGTGCCCCCTCCCTTATAAATTGACAATGTTTCACATCCTTGGGATCGAAATCAATTTCTTTCAATATTATATCACATGTTTCCTGGGCCCTGGTCATTGTCGAGGCTATCACCTTATCCCATTTTATACCCAATTCCTGTAATCGCTTCCCGGTATATTGAGCCTGCAGACGACCCCTTGATGTCAGACGATGTGTATCATCTGTATCCCCCAAATCCAAATATTCACCATGTCGTATAAGAATTATGTGGCGTGCCACCTTCGGTGTAGCCTTTTCCAGTTCGCTATTATAACGATTCTGTTCCTGGGGTGTATCATTTTTCAAAGGTTTCACCAGACTCTTGGGACTTCTACAATCCCAATTGCTATCCCACAAGGCACAGGGATTTACCGGCTTATCGCTGTTGGTCCATGACATTTGTACATTTTGCTGGTTGTCACGCAATTTTTGATAATAATAGGCACCCAATCCGGCACCTGTGCCCAATGCAATAGCGCCGAATTTTTTTACTCCATGCCACATAACCATGTTGTTGTCCGGTGGGTATTTGGAAAGTCAATGGGGATTTTCGTCTTCTTGGGATCGTGTTGAAATGTTTTTAAAAAAGCTTCTGAATTCTTTTGAAATTGAAATTAAAAATTGTAAAAATTGTAATTCTGTAATTCTGTTTAAAACTCCTTTCTTTAACTCCGTGGCGTGCTTTCGAATGAAAAAGTTGAAAAAGTAAGTACAATGCCGTTTCTAAAAGTTTTGACGGCGTTGTGGTATTGGACGAAATTGAGTCAAAACGTAAGTGATAAAAGCTAGAATCAAAACAAACACCGATTAGTATTAGTGTCTCTTAGGTCGAAAATCGGGCCGAATAGGGGAATCAAAACAAATCGACCGATTAGGCTTGCCTCAACAACAATATCAGCTGTTCAAGAGAATCAAACAGCTGTTCGGTAACTGAATAACCGGTTTAATATTGCATGGGTACTCATCTGTCACCGAAGCTGTCACATAGGGCAGGGATTTATAGGTCGATAAATGAATTCACTTAAAATTAAACTAAAATTATTAAATGATTTATTTTTTAATTAATAATAAATTTATTTTTAATAAAAATAAAGATATTAAGAGTTAATTGATAAAAATATAAAAAAATAATGTAAAAAAATAAATATTAAATATTCATAAAAAATTAAATATTAAATAAATACAATATAACCCCAAAATCTAAAAAAATTGGATTAAAATAGTGAAAATTTCATTCATTATTATTTAAATGACAATATAAAACCTACTAAAAGCATATAAGGTAATAATTATGCCACATTTTTCCAAAATAATAAACAATTTCGAAACTAACCTCAAAATTCATTTTTCTTAATTTTGCTATAATATGAAGGAAAATAATTATTGAAATATTGCAAAGGATATTATGTGTTATATTTGACGTACAAAATTGATTTTATTACCTAGATTTAGCAAAAATTTGAAATTCGAACTTAGCCTCAAAATTTAAAATTTCTAAATTTTACTATACAATGATAAACAATAATGACTAATATGTAACAACGAATATTTCGGTTAATAAATAAAATTTATGTTATTACCAGGATTTAAAAAAAATAGAAAATTATTTCACCTAACCTCAAAATTCAAAATAAAAAATAGAAAAAATAGACTCAATGACAAAGCTACTCCCCTTTAATGTATATATTGAAGTTTATTTTTAAGAAAAAAAAAACGAATACTATTTCATTTGGACATAACCTCAAAATACAAATAAAATACATTTAAATATGGGAAACTAAAACGGCTTTGTACAGTATTACAATATTGACTTGAATTTAATTTGTTTGCTTTAACAACTCATTTTAAGAATTTAATATAATAAATTATGCACGTTTTTCTAAAAAAAAATCGTAACTAACCTCAAAATATTTTTTTCAAATTTTGCTATAAAATGGTGGAAAACAATGACTTATAAATTCCAAGGGTTATTATGTATTAAATTTAATAAATAAAATTGATTTTACTTATCCGAATTGGAAAAAAAATTAAATAATGTTTTATATAACCTCAAAATTCAAAATTTAGTAAAAAAAACAAAAGCAACTAAAAACTAAATGACAGGACTACATCTATTTTATGGAAATACTATATTTATTTTTTAATAAAAAAAATAATATTTTTATTATTATTTTTTTAAATAACAATATTTTTTAACATAACCTCAATATACAAAAAATACATTAAAATGTTGAATTCTTAAAAAAGCTTTGTAAAAATTGAATTCAATTCAATTTATAAGCATAAAAACGTATTTTAAGCATTTAATAAAGTAATTAAAACTCCTTGTACATTAGAACTTTTTACCGGGTTAACCTACTATATGAGGATTTATTTGACATATATGCAAAGGAAATGACAATTGAAACCCACTGGGTTAACAAAATCCGGTTAAATGTAAACGTACTGTAAGACAATTTTTTCCAAATTTTTTTTTTTTAAATTTTGCAATAAAATAATGAAAAATAATAGCTGACATATTTTAATTGACATTATGTATTATATTTAATAAATAAAATTGATGTTATTACTCAGATTTAACAAAAATTAGAAAATTATTTTACCTAATATATTCGGACATAACCTCAATGTTCAAAATACAAATATTTCATTTAAATACGGGAAAATTACAACAGCTTTGTACAAAAATTGAAAATAGACTTGAATTTTTAATTACAGTTGCTTAAATATGACACTCTTTCAAAATGTAACATATGTTCGAACTTAACCTCAATTCATGAAATTTATAAACTTCTTAAATATACATATAAAATAATACGAAATATTGTATTAAAATTACATTGGATATATTTAAGGACTGCAATTGTATTGACAATATTTTATTTTATACAAAATATAAGACATTATTGGACCTAACCTCAAAATGTGAAGAGAAAAAATGATAATAAAAACTATTCCGTAAGTATCTCTTATGTTTTGCAATTTTTTAACAAAATTATTTAAGCTTTTTATTTGTTCTGCTCTAAAAACTGCAAGAATCAACTAACATCGGATTATTTCCACTTCAAAATTAAAGTTAATAGTTATATATATAAATATATATAGTTATATTTGAAGGGGATATATATGCAACGAAAACATTATAAAATTACTCAACAGGGCTATCTTTACTGTTCAAGATCAAGCAAGAATAATCTATTTTCGAATTTGTCACTATTTCCCCCCATTAATTTCGAAAATTATCACCAGAAGTTTTGTACGAAGGCCACTACTTTGCATTAATATTTACTTTTAATTACCTCTGTGTCACCCTGTAGTCTTGCCATCACGTTATCGTTTTCTCTCCTGTTATCGCCATCTGACAACCCATGAGAACTATCGAATTTGTTTATACTATCGACATTTCTCACATCACTCAAAAGGAACACCAACACGTGCAGCGGAATAACGAAAATTATATGAATTTATCAAATAAAATGAAAATTAAAAAGGATAAAAAAGCTGAAAAGCGTCCACAAAACTCTGAGGCACAAGAAGAATCTACAGCGGCCGTCAAGGCAAAGAAAAAACAAAAAATAAACAAAGAAAATGGTGATGAAGGCGAGGTTGCTAACGAGCAGGAGGCGCCAGCAAAAACAAAAGCTGCTATCAAAACGTTGGATACGAATATTTTTAAATATTTTAAAGATCTAACCAGTGATGAGGAGAAAGTGCGTTTGGAGGCTGCGGTGCATTTACTGCAACAATTACAGCGCAACAAGGATGAGGATAAGGTAAGTGGAAGTGGACCAATTTAAACATGCAGTGGCATGTTGACATGTGTTCCATAAAATTAATTTTCCCTTTTTCCCTCGCCACCACAGAAACAAAAAGAGCTGCAATACAGTTTAAAACGTTTGATACGTGGTTGTGGTTCTTCAACAAATGTTTCACGTTCCGGCTTTTATGTGGGCCTTGTTGGTATTTTGAAATCATTTTCATTGGAAGAGATACCATTACAATTGTTATTGGATATTATTAACAAAGAATTACATGTTGGCTCAGCTGTAGTCAATAAAGAGGATGCCGATGCCGTTGTTGGCAAAATTTTAGTTATTGGTGCTCTGCTACATTCGGGACGTTTAGCTGAAATTAATACCGAACATTTGGAACAAATTACCAATATATTGTTGCAGTCAACACGTCACAAAACCTATCATGCCTCATTAGGCTATTCGTTTTTGTGTGAAATTATTGAAATGGTAAGTGACACTTTTAATTTTTTTATAAGATATCAAATAGGTAGTCAAGATTGAAAATCTAAGATAGCCGAGAGAAGTCATTTGATGTTTCTGAATAAATATTGGGGGTAAAAAGAATTCCGCTTCTGAATTCTTCCAAAAACAAATACCACAAAAAATTGTATACATTTTTGGGAATTCTTATCCCCAAGAAAAAAATTTTATTTTTAGGATCATTTTTACGAATAACTAGAGCTATTAATGGTTACTCTTTTTTATTATAGAATAAACCTCTATTTTATAACCTCCACAAAAAGGGGTTTATACAATTTTTCATTTATTTATCATTTTGTCGATTTAGTCTTGTCCGTCTCTTGGTTGAAGTCACGTATAACCGGCAATATTTATGATAGAGCTTTGAAATATTGCACATACATTGCTGCTACTCCCAGAATGTTTGTTATTGAAAATGGGATATGTCGGTTATGGTATATCCTCCATATGACTATATGCCTTAATTTTCGAAAATTTGGAAAAATTCTTCGAAAATCAAATCTTCCTACCAAAAATTATCAATATTTTTTGGTATAGCCCCCTTGGAACGGTACATCCCAAATTTAAATATTTTTGAGAGTTTTGTTATGTTTTTCAAACCAAATTGCCTCTATTTTAGTATTCCAGATTCTCATGGGGTAGTAAATCATCCTACCAAAAATTATCAATATTGGTCCATTTTTTAGGATAGGACCCATAGAACGATACCTTCTGATTATCGATTTTGTTGGGAACTTGGTCACGATTTTCAACCAAATTGCCTATAATTTTTTATTTTAGATTATATTTGGGTACCTAAGCTTCCTACCAAAAATTATTAATATTAGTTCACTTTTTAGAATAGTCTCCATATAAAGGTACCTCCCAAATTTCGATATTTTGGGAAGATTTGATAAATTTTTTCAACCAAGATGACTGTTATTTTGTACATTGGGTTCTTCTTCGGTAGCAGATCTTCCTACTAAATATTATTAATATTGGAACAGTTTTTGGGATAGCCCCTATATAAGGGTACCTTCCGAATTTCGATATTTTGGGGAGTTTGGTTAAATTTTTAATTATCATTTTTGTTTCTCATATGATAGCACATCTTCCTAACAAAAAAAATAAAAATTATTCGACTTTTCAGGGTAGCCCTCATATAACGGTAACAATTTTTTAGGGACCTTGGTTAAATTTTCCAACCAAATTTCCTCTAATTTGGTATTTCGGGTACTCATAGTGTAACAAATCTTCGTACCAAAAATAATCAATATTGTTCGGCTTTTTTGGGTAGGTATCGGAAGATAAAGGTATCTTCCGAATTTCGATATTTTGGTGAGTTTGGTAAATTTTTAATTAGCATTTTGGGTTCTCATTGGGTAGCAAATCTTCCTACCAAAAATAATCAATATTGTTCGGCTTTTAGGGTAGCCCCCATATAAGGTACCTTCCGAATTTCGATATTTTGGAAAGCTATGTTACGTTTCGGGTACTCATAGTGTTACAATCTTACTACCAAAAATTATCAATATTGGTCCGTTTTTTAGGGTAGCCCCCATATAAAGGTACCTTCCGAATTTCGATTTTTGGGGATTTTGTTTACGTTTTTCAACCAATTTTTTATTTGGGATTATTTTTGGGTAACAAATCTTTGTACCAAAAATTATAAATATTGGTCCACTTTTTAGGATAGCCCCTTATAAGCGTACAGTCCAAATTTCTATATATAGAATTTGGGAGCGTTTTTCAACCAAATAGACTGTATTTTAATATTTCAGACTCCCATTGGGTGGAAAATCCCATTACAAAAAGTGAAGAATATTGGACAAAGTTTCGGAGTAGGCTTTAAATAACGGTTGTCCCCTCTTATTCAGATTTTGGTGGATGTTGGACAAGTTTTCCCACCAAAATTTTAATTGATTGAGATTTTATGTATTCTGAAAGTGGATAAAAAGTTTGAGCCGACTTTTTGTATCTCTAAAAATAATTGTTGGTACTTTTTGGGACCTACCAGGACTTCATTGTTGTGTAAAATGCCCATGATTTATTTCTTTAGATCTTTCATTGATTTCCCATCCAAACAATTTCATATTACAGGGGCTAAAAGACGATCTGACAAAAAATGTTGGGAGCACCACACTTTTTGACAGCATTTTTGTTTTCTCGATGGACTTGCAAACCATTACTCCACTTTCTTGTAGCATCTTTTCTCACAATTTATTATCAAAAAAAAAACTCTTTGGTACAAAAAATTTCTAAAAAAGTATTCAATTAAAAATTCAATCACAATTCTCTTCTAACAATAATATCATCTCCATGATCATCGTCTCAATACCACTGACCAAATCGCTCAACAGCCCTGAGCCAACCATTTAAACGTTCACGTATTTCCGCATATTTTTTCTCCTGTGGCTCAAAACAACGTTCGACATCACGAAATTGGGCAAGATCTTCAAATGAATTCCACAAGCCAAGATTAAGCCCCGCAGCATAGGCGGCACCCATAATGCTGCTTTCAGGATTGCGGGCACGCTCCACGCAAATCCCTGTGGCATCGGCCAAGAATTGACAGACGAAATTGTTGCGCGATACACCACCATCGACTCTGTAAGGAATTATAAAGAAAAATTAAATTTAAATAAAGGACCAAACTTAGGACCACCTCATAGTCTGGGATACGTATGTTCCCTGTTATGTTTACCTGATTGATTATGTTTACCCCTTACCTTAATAATTTCAATTTCTGTTGAGTTTCCTCTTCGGCCGTTTCCACAAGTTTTACCAAACGAAAAACAATACTTTCCAATAGGGCCCTTACCATATGGGCTTTCTGAGTGGAGGGTGTAATGCCAATAAATCCCGAGGCAGCTTTGTGATCATTAATGGGGGCCTAGAAAAAAATTCCAAAGTAAAATCAAATTTTTTAAGAAAAAAATTCTCTTAAAGAACTTACCCCCAAACCACTAAAAGCCGGTACAAAATAAACACCATTTGTATCCGCCACCGATTCTGCTATCTCCTCCGTTTCACTTGGCTTCGTGTAGAGACCACAATTTTGTCCCCATGCAATAATGGTACCCATATCATGCGCAGCTCCCTCAACACAAAATGTGGTATCTTTACCATATTGCCATGCCACCAAGGGGTACATACCCTGCAGTGATGCCTGACATGTTTTACCCGTAATTAAATCTAAAAATGCTCCCGTACCCATTGTTATTTTAACATCACCTTTTTGAAAACATTGGGAGCCAAACATAGAGGCACATTGATCACTTATTGAACTTGTTATGGGTATACGACAATTTTTCCATTCCGGTCCAAAATCTACTGGGTCAATGTAGCCAAAATCTTTATACGAATTGTTGACAATTTTCGGTAACATTGAGACCTGAAAAAAACACAAAAATAAATTATTAATAAATTAGTAAGGAAAGTAGTAAAATCGGACTGGGTCGACTATATGATACCCTTCACCACTATGGGAGCTATATGCAAATCTGAACCGATTTTCACGAAACTTAGCACACATCATTCTAGACTCAATTCAGTACGCTATGCCAAATTTCGTGCAAATCGAATGATATATAGGGGCTTTGGTGCAGCATTTACATAAAATCGGACTAAAATATATATGGGAGCTATATCTAAATCTGAACCGATTTTCACGGAACTTAACACTCACCATTCTAGACTCAATTCAGTACGCTATGCCAAATTTCGTGCAAATCGAATCATATATAGGGACTTTGGTGCACCATTTACACTAAATCGGATGAAAATATATATGGGAGCTATATCTAAATCTGAACCGATTTTCACACACATCATTCTACCCTCAATTCAATACTCTATGTCAAATTTCATGCAAATCGAAGAAAAATCGGAAAAAATATATATGGGAGCTATATTTAAAACTGAACCTATTTTCACAAAACTTAGCGCACATCATTCTAGACTCAATTCAGTACACTATGTCAAATTTCATGCAAATCGAATGATAGATAGACTTTGGTGTACCATTTACACTAAATCGGACGAAAATATATATGGGAACTATATTTAAATCTGAACCGATTTTCACGAAACTTAGCACACATCATTCTACCCTCAATTCAGTACTCTATGTCAAATTCCATGCAAATCGAATCATATGTAGGGACTTTAGTGCACCATTTACAGTAAATCGGACGAAAATATACATGGGAGCTATATCTAAATCTGAACCGTTTTTTACCAATTTCAATAGGATTCGTCCTTGGACCAAATAAATGAGATGTGCCAAATTTTATCGAATTCGGAACATAAATTAAAATTTCTCGAAGAAGTCATCCGATGGAGAACCTATATAGCCTTTATCTTCCAAAAAAATTAAAGAGGTATTGGTCCATTTTTTTTTCTATTTTTGTTTAGATAAGTACCTGTACTTTGTAAGCAGACCTAGTGGACCTCTATAAGAAGGCCTTATCGTCTCATGACCTTCTGGGACTTCTAGAAGAAAGGAAGATCTTCTGAAACTTATATTGGCAGATAATGTTGGGCTTCTATAATACCTCCTAGGACCTCTATCCGAGTACCTTCTTGATTAAATTGTTGTTATTGTTAATGACCAAAATCTCTACTACAAGTCCTCCCCTCTTCAATTCCCCTTTAGCAAATCCTCCCCTCTAACCCCCACTCCAACTTACCTCAATTCCCGTCAACATTTTCACAATCGGTGACCATTGCAATTGAAATGGATCAAACATGCCCGTCGCCGTGCACGATGTAATATCCGCAATATGATCCACTTGTGAATCCCGTCCATTACCCGATCTCAATTTATATAGAATCCATGAATCCAACAGCTCAACACGAACACATTTACGTTTCATGGCCTCTTTTAGCCGCGAATTATTTCGCATTTCATATAATAATCTCAAGGTCACCTGACCGTTCATCATTTTTAAAACACTACCGGCCAAAAAACGATTACTACGTGTTAGCAAATACAAGGCATAGGCACAACTATTCAGGGTTTTCAAGGCCACACTATGATTGAATTCATCTACCAATACATCGGAACGTAAATCTTTCCAAGTTATGAAATTATGGAAATACTCTTGGGTTTTGTGATTCCATGTCAAAAAGGTGCAACGTTGGCTGCTAATGCCAAGGCAGGAGATTTGTGAGGGTTCTAATTCGGCATCTAAAGGGGAGGGAGGGGAAACATTTGAATTTTTTTTTTTTAGTAACAAAAATTCCAGCTTACTTTTAACTGCATTTTGTATGACCCTTACAATTTGCTGCCACAATGTTTCCGGTTCGATTTCAAAATAACCCGCTTTGGGATTCAAAAGTTGTACCTTTTTGGGAATGTAGGGGAGAAATTGAAAGGGTGAAAATTTTCATTCATAAATTGCCAAGGCGCCTGATTTTGGCACATGTTCGAATTCTCACCTCTTCCACGGCGCAACTCTTTATTTCACATTTTTCATTGAGCACAAAACAGCGTACCGTTGTGGTTCCCACATCCAATGCGGCAATATAAGACATTTTTTGTGGCTGTTGTAGTCCGATTCAAGCGTAAAACTTGTTTTCTTTAAATTTTTATTGATTGGCCAATATTTATTTAATCTTTGACTTATTGAAACTATTAATAGTTGTGTTGTATACTTTCAGATAATCTCATTCAAACTAAAACCTGCTAGATAATTAGTGATTGAAATTTAATATTGTTTTGTTGCTTCTAGTTTTAATTATTGTTGTAAAAATGTTGATACTTTAATCTTGTCGGGCTTCGCGTTGTTCCATTTATTTTATTCTGTTATTCTAAACTAATTGACGGAATGTTGGCAACTGAGTTGCGGGTTTTTTATTTTCAAAGTTGCTGGTAATGTTGTACTCTGAACTTGCGTTCTCTATCTATCTCCTCTCTACTTCGATAGCAATGGGTAACGATAAAAACAAATGTTCTCCCTCTCGTTCGGTTCATATTTTTCTTTTCTCCCCAAAATTGAGTCAAGTTTTTGAGTGTTCATTGATAAGAACATATTCGGGTGGTCGAAAGTTTAATCAACTCTCTTGCGCTTGACAATGTTGTTTTGTTCGGGGTGGGTAGAAAATCGGAAATTGAAAGAAATTGTTGACGGGTTAAGAGGTTTTGAAGCAATGGTTTCATAGAATAAATCCAAATTTAAATAGATATTGCATATTTTTGTATTCCCTAGGAAGTTTCTCATGTTATTTTATAAAAAGATCCTTTCGGTATACTATTCGAAAGCTCCTACAGCTTCCAGTTAGAAGTCTTTTACAAGTAAAATAAAATTTATAAAAAAACCTTAGTATTTAAATAAGAATAAAATATAGATAGATACGTACGATATGCTAATGGTTTTATCATAATTATCTACGTGGCGGAAGCTCCTTATTTCAAAATAGAACCTATGTGGTATTATTGGGCTCTCATGTAAATTTTGCTTAAAAATAGATTATGGTATTTTAAAAGAAAGGTTCCTGGAGCCTTCTGTAAGCAAACGTTACGTTCTGCATCCTTTTTTTAGGCTTTTTCCAATACTTTTGAAATTTCCTACATTGATTTCTAGAGGAATTTAAAATTTACTAACATTTCCAAACATATTTTATCTTATTTTCCATACTCACCTGAATTCCTGTAATCATATTCAAAATCGGCGACCAATTCAATATAAACGGATCAAACATTCCCGTACTCGTACACGATGTCACATCTGATATATGTTCAATATTTGAATTTCTTCCATTACCCGAACGTAATTTATATAGTACCCATGAATCGAGCAATTCCAAACGGGCCCGTTTCCTTTGCATTGCATTTTTTAGGCGGTGATTATTTTCCATTTCATATAATAATCTCATTGTCACCTGGCCATTCATTAGTTTAAGAACACTGGCGGCAAGAAATTGATTACGACGTGTTAGAAAATATAAAATGCTGCCAATTGTATTTAAGGCTTTCAGCAAATAACCTTCATTGAATTGATCGACCATTGCATCGGCCGCAAATCTTTCCATGTAATGAAATTGTGATAATATTCTTGGGTCTTGGAATTCCATGTCAGAAATGTTGAACGCTGGGTGCAAATGCCAAGGCATGAAATGTCCGAGGGTTTCAGGTGGGCATCTGTAATAAAGAGAAGTTATATTTTTTGAACAATTATTTTTATTTTCTTTATTTTATACTTACCGTTAACGGCATTTTTAATAACCCTTACTATTTGCTGCCACAACGATTCTGGTTCAATTTCAAAATACCGTGGCTGCGGATTTAGCAGTTGCACCTAATATGTATACAAAATAAATTTCATTCATAAATTGCATACTTTGGCGCTTTTTTCTTTGGGTTTTTATCCGCTTTTTTTCCTTACCACTTCCTCAGCTGACCCCTTAATTTCACACTTGACATTGAGCACAAAACAACGCACCGTTGTGGTGCCCACATCTAATGCAGCAATATATTTCATGATGGTTTTTGTTTTACTTTAGAATTTCTTGCAATGCAAATAAATAATAAATTCTTTAATACTTTATCACTTAATTCATATTGTTTTTTGTTGTAGTTTTCATTTAATTTTAATCTATTTTTTTCAATTGATAGCAATTGTGGTGGCAGGCAAGTGCTTGCAAACTCTTTTGTTGTCACTACATTTATACAGATTGTCAAATGAATGTTCTTAATGGGGGGAGAGATAACTACATATTCTCCCGTTTTTTGTATGGGCTTTCTGTCTCAGCCCGTCACCCGGTCTCTCTGCCAAAAAATCATGTTATTATTTTTTGATAACAGTCATCATCCCCCATCAAGGCAGTGTGTTGTGAGAAGCACAATAACAAATATAACCGTACTCTCTCACATTACATCTCTCAGTCATATGGAAGTGTGGTGCTCGCATGTCGTTTATTGTCATTTGTTTGGCGCCTTTTGCATAGGAATATAAAATGAAGTATTATTTATTTTTTTTTTAAAGAAAGAAGTGGGAATTAAAAATAAAACTAATTAATATTTCTAAAATATTAAATTGAATTGTATAATTTGCGGGGAAATGTACCAATTAAACTGTTATATTACTGACTTATAAAGTCATTCCCCCCATCAATGCAGTGTGTGAGCCAATAACAAATATAAACATGGTCTCCCTCTCTACATAATGAGTATGCTGCTCGCATGCCGTTTCTTGTCGTTTGCTCTCTCTCTACATTACATCTCCCAGTCATATGAGTACATGCTGCTCGCATGTCATTTCTTGTCATTAGTTTGGCGCCTTTTGCACATTAATATGTAAAGGAATATAAATTGAAGATTTTTTGTTAAATAAGTAGGAATTATAATTAAAATTGATAAATATTCTTAAAACAATAAATTAAAATATTTGGGAAAACGTGCCAATTAAACCACTTTGTTATTATATTTTGCTTACAATACCATTCCCCCCAACAATGCAGTCTATGATGAGCGCAATGACACTTATAACCGTACTCTCTCTCTACATCACATCTCTCAGCCATATGTACGTTATTCACATGTAATTTCTTGTCATTATTTTGGTGCCTTCTGCACATTATTATGCTAAGTAATATAAATGGAAATGTTTTAAATTTTTAAAGCAAAATTAGGAATTATTTAAGAAAATTAATAAATATTATTAAAATATTAAATAATTAATAATTTTGTGGAAAATGTGTCAATTCAACCACTTTATTGTTATAGTTTACTTATAATGCAATTCCCGCCACCAATGATGAACGCAATGACACTTATAACCGTACTCTTCTCTCTACATTACATCTCTCAGTCATATGTACGTTAAGTTCAAACATGTGCATCGGTGTTTAGCCCACACACGTGCCATTAAACTTCATTTCATATTTATTTTTGAAGCGTGAAGATGGACCGCGATAGTGATGACGGAAAAAAGACGAAATAATTTTATTTAATATAAATGTATTAAATACTTTTATTTTATTCCGGGAAAACACATTTTTATTTGCCACACAGTAGAATATGTGTAAAAATATCAAAAAATCTTCCAAATACATATGTATTGCAAAACAAAAACTGAGAAAATATCCACACACCAGGCCACAGACGTCAAACAACGGAAAAATTAAAAATTTTTAATTATATATTGTGCGCACCGGCAAAATGTGAACATACCACACACGTCAAACATTGCTGATTTATGCAATGGAAACCATTAGTTTGGCGCCTTTTGCACGTTAATATGCAAAGGAATATAAATTCAAAAGTTTTACCTTTTTTTTTAAATAAAAATGTGGGAAATTCACATAAAAAACAAAAAATATTCATAAAACGGATAATTTAAATTATATATTTACAGGAAATATAACAATTAAACAGGTTTATAGGAAAAAACTACTTTAAAAGGAATATAGGGAAGCAAAGGAAGGTCATCAGGGATCATGTTCATGCTCTTCAAACATAAATTCTGCATTGCTTATAATTGGCCGATCGGCATGCTATAACTTCTTGGACTTCAATAATGAAGACAGCTTGTTTAAAAAAATATATGTTTTCGTAAAAAGACACCTTCATTTCCAGTGACAACTTCTGGTCTTTTATGATATAAAGTCCATGGAAAATTGTTTGTCCTAGTGGTGGTCTCCCATAGGAAATGGTTTTAATTTATATTTGAATTATAAAGGAAACTCATATTGACGTTTTTTGAGAAACCCCATTGACTTTCAAAGGGAAAGCCTATTGGTTTTCTATTAGAAATCCTAATATATTGACTTTGACTTCTATACAAATTTTTTGCCTCCCTATTAAATTTATGTTTTTATTTTTAATATTTTGTTAACTATTTTCCTTTCCCCCTCTTTTTTTCAGCTATCACAAGAACAATTTGAAACTGCCGTTTGGCCATTGGTACAAAAAGAGCTGTGCCGGCCATGGAATAAACAAAATCTACAAACCATCCACTGTCTCATAGTATTGCAAAAGAAATTCCCCACACTAGTGAATGCAAAATTCCTTAAGGCACACTTTGGTGGCGTTGAACTACTAAACCCGGAATCATATCAATATTTACATAAAATATTTTGGGTACACAGCAATACCGACATCTTAACACATCCTGCATTTGAACATTTTGGTGCCTACATTGCAACCTCCAAGAATTTAACAACGTTTTGGCGTGAAACTGTTGATGCAGGTTTAGAAAATCCCACAAAATTGGTAGAAATTGAAACACTGAAAATCCTCACCGATATTTTAGATAATTTGGATGTAGAAAAGACCAAAGTGCAAGATTTGTTAGGCAACAATTTCATGCATATGTTCATTGAGGGTTTGAAAAATTTAAAACAGAAAAAAGATGAAACACTGAAAGCATTTTATGCTGACTTTTTGGAATCGCTGGTGAAATGTTGCAGTAAAGTTACCCGCGATGAAGATAAGGTGGCATTGATAAAGCGCCTGATTTTGCCACCTGGTATTTTTAATATTGAGAAATTCGCCAGCAATCGTGTGGTGCATCAATTGATTAATACCTTGGGCGAAGAGGGTGTTAAGGAATTGTATAATTTGTACAAACAAATATTCCTTGGCACTTTGCCGAAGAATCCAGAAAATTCCTCAGAAAATTGGTTAAATTTTGAGAGGCTGAATGCCGGGTATATGTTGCAACATTTATTGCAACACAAATCTGTGCACAATGCCTTCGCATGGAGAGAGGAACAATTGCAATTTTTGTTCTCCTGTGGCGTATTCTATGTCACCGATTTGGCAGAGATTTGTAAAAAAGAAGCGGCCGGTTCGTTTAGTAAAGATTTTGCCGAACAATGTAAAAATATGTTCTTCACATGCTTGCAAACTAAACTCCATGACATTAATGAGGAACAGAAATTGCTGTACAATTTGGCCAAGTTCTGCCAAGAGAAGTTAGCACAAAAACAGGCCAATAAATATATACGCATAACTAAATTCGATGAGGTTTCACAAAAGGCATGGCAATCCATGTATGGAGCTGTGGCCGAGTCACAAAATCAAGTGACGAATAAAAAGAAGAAGGCAGAGGATAATAAACTGCAGAATGTATTCAATATTTTATTACTCAACATGGGTCTGCAGTTGTTCCGTGAACCTGAAATGGCCGCCCCAGCCATTGACGATCTGCTGAAATGTATGGCCAAAACAAAGGAGTCGGGAAAACAAAAAAAGAAATCGAAGAAATCAGTACCGGCGGCGGGAGATGGTGAGGGTGAAGAACCTGAATGGATTGAGGTGGTGGTGGATTTGTTCCTACATCTGTTGTCCCAAAATAATGGTGCCCTACGCAACATTGTCAATGCCCTGTTTCCACATTTGTGTGATAATTTGACATTGACAGCGGTGCATCAAATTTTGGCGGTATTGGATATGAAGGATGGCCATAATCCATTGAGTGGTAAAAATGAAGAAGATGATGATGAAGAGGAGGAGGATGAAGATGATGAGGAAGAAGTGGAAAAGAAAAAACCAAAATTAAATGGTAAATCTAAAACAGAAAGTGATGAAGACGATGATGATGATAGTGAAGATGATGAAGAGGAGGGAGATGAAGAAGAAGAGGATGATGATGAGGAAGACGATGATGAAGATGACGATGAAGAAGAGGAAGATGACGAAGAAGGTGTTACCGAAATTGATAAATTACGCAATGCCGTGTCCCAGGCTCTTATTGCCAGTGGAACCCAAATCGATGATGATATGGAATCGGTTGATCTGAATGATATGACCGAAGAGGAGGGCCGCAAATTAGATGAAGCCCTCGCCAATGCCTTTAAGGCCATGAAGAAGACCGGCTCTTCGCAAACGAAAAAATCCAAAAGTTATCGCATCAAAACCACCACGGTTATGCATTTCCGTATACGTGTCCTTGATCTTTTGGAAATCTACTTGCAACACAAACCATCTTTGCTTATATCCATTGAAATTATGTTGGCCCTCTTCAACATGTTGGAATACTGTGTCGGTGAAGAGTTGAAACCTTTACAAACTAAAGTTGAAAAGACCCTCATCAAATTGACCGCTCTTAAGAACTACAATTCCGATGGAGATCTTAAGGAAGGCAATTTTGTGGACTTCCTAAGGCTGATTATTGACAAGAAGGCCCCGGCTCCCGTGTTTGAGATTGTAAATAAAATGCGTAACAAATGTTGTTGTTTCCTCATTGCCAATGCCTATAAGATCAATGCCAATGGACAAACTCCCAAGATCCTGGCTCTGTGTAAAGAATATACCCAAGAATTTGTGAAATCCCGCAATCCCACCATTAACATTACCCTACTCTCCGATATTTTCAAACTGAGATGGTGTCACATATACGATTTGGCCGAGGAATTGACACAACAAGGCATTAATCTAGAGGCACGTACCTTCCGTCGCATACAAGTCTATGAAATCCTCTCAACGCTGTATAAAAACAGTGAACTGCAAAAACAAAATGAAGATGAAACCAAAAAACGTTTTAAGAAAATCGAAAAGGCCCTTAAAAATCACATTCAAGCTTTGACACAAAATAAATCCCTGAAACAATCGCCCAAAGAATTCCAAACTCTATTGGAATTAATATTGAACGTACAAAAGGCCCAACAACGTTTGAACATCAGCAGCTCACAATTAACCACCGAGGAAACTTTACAAAGTTTACAAAATTTAAGGAAATTGATACGTCTGGAGTCCTCGCATGTCTACCAACGTTTTTGCGGGGCCTTTAAACTACCCGTTATTCGCAACACTGAGGTGCAACCTAAAGAAAGTGGCCATGATGAAGAAGAAAATTCCTCAGAATCGAATGACTCAGATGCTGAAGAGGAAGATGAGGACGAAGAAGAAAAAGAAAAAACCACCAACAACTCTGCCCAAAAGCGAAAACTCCAAACCGCCAAGGATCTACGCAAATTGAAAAAACAAAAGAAACTGCAACGACTGGAGGCTGCCTCTAAAGGTCTCAATGGTGGCATAGGATTTTCTCAACAAAATGGCAATGATTCGGATTCAACGTAATTCTGTCTTTTTTTCTTTTCATTTCTTCTAAATTAAGTTAACATTAATTTTCAAATTTTTAACTAGCTTGTTTTAATTTCTATAATCTTTATATGATTATTGTATGTAATTTTGAAAAAAAGAAACCCGATATTTTCATGAAGGCCTGTTATTTTATGAAAAATACACGCACGCAAACAGAAACAACCATAATTATGCTCCCCTGTAAACTATATTATATTTTTATATAGTACAATAAATCATTTTTAATAAAATATAAATACATTTATATGTAAAGTTAAATATGTATATAATGGGATTTTTATTTGAAATTGATGGAATTTTTATGTTTTGGGGTAACGAATTTGCAGAGCTTAGAAAATATAAAAGAGGGATAAATTTTGAGGTGGAAGAAACTTAGCGTTCGGTGCGAAGAAATACAAGGCTAAGGTAAATTTTTAAGAAGCACGCTATGCCTTTCAGTTCCTCTACATAAGCGGACCTTTCAATAGGACTTTGGTCTTTATGTACACTCACTGGCCCTTCAGTTCGTGTATATATAGACTCACTGGCCCTTCAGTTCGTGTATATATAGACTCACTGGCTCTTCAGCTCGTCTATATAGACTCACTGGCTCTTCAGCTCGTCTATATAGACTCACTGGCTCTTCAGCTCGTCTATATAGACTCACTGGCTCTTCAACTCGTCTATATAGACTCACTGGCTTTTCAACTCGTCTATATAGACTCACTGGCTCTTCAGCTCGTCTATATATGAACTCACTGGCTCTTCAGCTCGTCTATATAGACTCACTGGCTCTTCAGCTCGTCTATATAGACTCACTGGCTCTTCAGCTCGTCTATATAGACTCACTGGCTCTTCAGCTCGTCTATATAGACTCACTGGCTCTTCAGCTCGTCTATATAGACTCACTGGCTCTTCAGCTCGTCTATATAGACTCACTGGCTCTTCAGCTCGTCTATATAGACTCACTGGCTCTTCAGCTCGTCTATATAGACTCACTGGCTCTTCAACTCGTCTATATAGACTCACTGGCTCTTCAGCTCGTCTATATAGACTCACTGGCTGTTCAGCTCGTCTATATAGACTCACTGGCTCTTCAACTCGTCTATATAGACTCACTGGCTCTTCAGCTCGTCTATGTAGACTCACTGGCTCTTCAGCTCGTCTATATATGAACTCACTGGTTTTTCAGCTCGTCTATATATCTAGACAACTTGTCCATATAGACTCTCTGGCCCTTCGGTCTTTAACTCATCCTTACAGACATAGTGGTTCTTTCGCTTGTCTTTTTAGACTCATTCGATTTAAGCCTGTCTCATTTTGTACCCCAGGACCTCTTTTCTGATCATACAGATATTCCTGAAGTGTACCTTCTCATTGGGTCGCAACCACAGATCTGAAGAAAACAGTACTTTGAAATTTGTATAATTGCACCGATGTTCAGAGGAGAACTCAAAGGTAGCTATTAATAACTGTATCAATACGAATTCCAAAACGGTTTTAAGGTATTTTGATCAAATTTTAAATTTCCGGTCGAAAATATATTGTTACGTTCTTGGGTTTTACTAAATCCCGTGTAGACGTTGTTTTATTTCCCGATACAATTCGTACCAAATAAAACGCAGGTTCTTTCGGATTACGATTATTACAATGATTTTATTCACACAACTTTACTTTACACGACGGTTTCAATTCGCGATCTGATTCACCACTGACTCACTGCCTTTCCATTTCCCCTATTTATATGAGCCTTGCTTGTAGCTACAGAAGTTTCTAGACGATCTGGTAACACCTAGATCACGAACAATCTACCAATGCAACAAACACACATACAAACTTACGTTGAGTAAACACCCTGCAAGCAAAAACTATCGCGGAAGTGAAAAAGAAGTGACGCCTAAGCGATAGAAACATTTGCGGAAGATAGTCGCATTCTTATCGCGGAAGTCACCTCCTTCGGGAAGAAATGAACCACGTCCGCGTCACTTCCAGGTAGTAACGTCTGGGTAACTTCTTGGAAGACACTCGGAAGTGACTTCCTAGAAGTGACGCGGGAGTGGTTCATTTCTTCTCGAAGGAGGTGACTTCCGCGATAAGAAAGCGATTGTATTCCGAAACTGTTTCTATCGCCTAGGCGTCACTTTTTTTCACTTCGGCGTTACTTACTTCTCGCGAAAGCGATTTGCTTAGTCAGGCATTCTAAATAGTTATTCACAGTTTTTTTAATAATAACTTTAATATATTCACAAACCTAAAAATTATGTTTTTAACTTTTAATAATTTTTACACTATTATACTTTTTTAAATATGTAAATAACACTATTTTATAAATGAAGACACTTAATAAATATTATTATTTTTAAAATTAGTAATAAATTTTAATTCACTTTTTGTTTGTCGATTACCATTCACTTTGAAAATCTTACTTTAACTGAGTTATATATATTTTTTCTCCCCTTTTTTCCAAACAAATAAGAGAACATTTTGAAACTGTGCAACTTGTTATTGTAAAATTTGAACCGTCTTCTTTTATCCTCCAAAACGACACTTAGAAGTAACTCCAAGCCGATAAAAGGTAGACAACAATAGTTTTGTTATTGTAAATATACAAACTATCGCCTTTTCTCGGGAAATAAGTGACGCGGAAGTGACTCATTAGGCGAGGGAGTGAGAAACTCACTTCCAAATGCTTGCAGGGCAATAACAACAACACATACAAACTTACATTGAGTAAACAATAACAACAACACATATACAGGCGAGGGGGTAACAAAGAGGAATTAAGCGATCATCAATGATGACGTTTAACAAGAATTGTACGCCAACAAAAAAAAAATAGACAATGAAAGAGGAAATGGAAGGATGTAGAAAAATCTATACAGTAGTTGTTGTTGTGAAGTTATTCAAATAAACTGCGTAGTAGAAATTTACGTTACAATTCAAATTCTTAAATTAACGGAATTCATCTAAAGTAACTTAAATCTAAATTTATATTCGTAACAATATTAATAAGGTCACACAGCTAGCGAGAGTCAACTGTTTTTTCTCGAGTCTAATGTGAAAAATTTGGACTTGTTTCGTTTTCATAATCGAAGTCAATTCATAATAATGGATTTTGACAGCAAACTTGAGAGGCCAGATGATATCCTGGACGACCTTATTAACATACCTTGAGGTCACCCAACTAGAGAAAGTTCGCTGTTTTTTTTTTTTCTCAAGTCTAATGTCAAAAAGGGGACTTTGCTTATGTTTTCATAATGGAAGTCAATTCACAATAATGGATTTTGACAGCAAATTTAAGAGATCAGTTGATATCCAGCTGGTCTCCCTGGATGACCTTATTAATATCAGCTGTCTCTCAACTTTGCTGTCAAAATCCATTATTGTGAATATATTTCCATTATGAGAACGTAATCAAAGTCTAAATATTTGACATTAGGTATGAGAAAATCAGTTGTCTTCCGTTTGCTGGATGACCTTATTAATAGATCTTCCCATGATGCAATAAATAATAGATAACAAAATAGGGTTATGTCAACCCATGACTCTGTATTCAACATTTTCTGCAATAACCTATTAATCTAGCAAAAAAAAAAAAAAAAAAATAATAAAAAATGGAATGGAAATTTTGCCCAAAACGATCAAAAATATGAGTAATATGTCAGAACAACTACCTACATTAATTTTTTCTGCGAAAAAGTTTTTTACCCACTCAGAACTTGGTTAAAATGAATTGGAACTTCTATATTTGAAGCTATACCCTTTTTGGACCGATATATCCCACATTTAATACAAACATTCTAGAAGTGGTATCACTTTATGATGATCTAAATATTTCGATAGTTGTTTCCATTAATTTACGGACAGACATCGCTAAATCGACATAGAATTTTATTCTGATAAATAATATATATACTTTATGGGGTCTCTGGTGAATATTTCCAGATCTTGCATGCGAAATGACAAATGTAAACATGTTATCATTTCACTACCACCCTATGCAAAAACACGAATTTGGCATCCCTAACCAATTGACAAGTAATCAAAAAAGTGCTGCCAATATGACCAAAATGTGATGGGGTCGTGAAGAGAATAAAAATGATTAATTTTTTCATTATTTATATTAAAAAAACGACGATACAGTGGATAATAATTTAAAATCTTTATTAAGTAGCAGAATTGTTTAAATTATTATTGTTAATTAATAATAATTCATTCAACAAAATCATTGTTTACCAAAAGGAATGTTTATACTCTCTTGACAGCTGAGAATAATGACGCTTTTTCTCCCATTCACCCATTTGACATCACTGCTGGCTTTTGGTGGTGGAGTTTCTGGCTGGCTTGTCAGTGAAAAAAAAAATTGTAAATTTTTGCAATAAAACATTTAGTAAATAGTTAAAATATAATAATAATTGTATAAATAAACAAATTACATAAATAATTATTGTAACAAAATGAAAAAAGTGTTGATGGTGGCGGAGAAGCCGTCTTTGGCAGCATCGTTGGCGCAAATTTTGTCCAATGGCAAAAGTCATGCTAAAAAAGGTTAATATTAGTTAGTGATGTCATATTATGCATATTATGCAAAAAAAGAAAGAAAACATTTAAAGATTTACCATTTATTCCAGCCACCACCAATTCTTGTTCCACCCACGAATGGAATGGCGAATTTAAAGGCCAGCCGGCCATGTTTCGCATGACTTCGGTGTGTGGCCATGTCATGACATTGGATTTTGTTGGCAAATATAATTATTGGGACCGGGTTGATCCGGCAGAATTGTTTGGCTGCCCAACAGAGAAAAAAGAGGCCAGCCCCAAACAACATATGCCCAGCTTTTTGGCACATGAGGCAAGAGGTTGCGATTATTTGGTGCTATGGCTTGATTGCGATAAAGAAGGTGAAAATATTTGCTACGAAGTAATGGAGTGTGTATCCCGTGTCATAAACAATGTCTATAGCCGCAACGTTACATATCGTGCCCATTTTTCGGCCATTACGGAGAAAGACATCAAGGGGGCAATGAACTCCTTGGGTTACCCGAATGAAAATGAAGCCAAATCGGTTGATGCCCGTCAGGAGTTGGATTTACGTATTGGTTGTGCCTTTACCAGGTTTCAAACGAGATTCTTTCAAGGACGTTATGGTGATTTGGATTCATCGTTAATCTCCTATGGTCCATGTCAAACACCCACATTGGGTTTTTGTGTCAAACGTCATGATGATATACAAACATTTAAACCCGAAAGTTTTTGGTATCTACAATTGACAGCGGGTCAGCCGGAGTTTTTGTTTGAATGGAATCGTGGTAGAGTTTTTAAAAAGGATATTGCAACAATGCTGCTGAATTTGGTCAAGAATCAAAAGGAGGGAATGTAAGTAGAAAGGGGGACGGGGAGGAGCTTAATAATTTCCATAAAATTTTAAGAAATGTTGGTGTTTTTTTTTTTTTTTTTTTTGATAATCAATTCGGAAAGCATTTTTAAACTATTTTTTTAAATAATTTATTTATTTTTTTAATTTTATTTTTTTCTAATTTATATTTTTTTATTTTATTTTTTTCTAATTTATATTTTTTTATTTTATTTTTTTTAACATTTTTTAATTTGATTTTTTTTTTTCAGAATTGAAAGTGTATCCTCGAAGGAGCAAACCCGTGTACGACCCCAGGCCTTAAATACCGTTGAGTTAATGAGAATTTGTAGTTCCGGTTTGGGTATTGGCCCCTTTCAGGCCATGCAAATTGCTGAGCGTCTGTACACACAGGGTTACATCAGTTATCCACGTACCGAGACCAATCAATATCCAGCTAATTTTGATTTAAAGTAAGTCATTTTTAAAATAACAAATTCAAAAATTTTCTAAAAAATAAAATTTCTGCCTTCCTTTCCACATAGTGCCGTTCTTCATATATTGAAACCCTCTTCGGAATTTGGCTCTGAGGCTCATGGCATATTGGCTGATTTTAATGCACCCCGCAAAGGTAAAGATTGTGGTGACCATCCCCCCATTACACCCATGAAATTGGCCACTCGCAATGATTTCGATCGTGACACCTGGCGTGTCTACGATTTTATTTGTCGTCACTTTTTGGGAACCATTTCAAAAGATTTAAAATATCGTGCCACAACAGTGAAACTGAAAGTTGCCACTGAGACATTTACATGTACAGCAAATGTTTTGGTAGATCCAGGTTTTACAAAAGTTATGACATGGTTGGCCTTCGGACGAGATGAGGCAGTACCACAATTTACCCAAGGCGAGAAAGTGGCAATAAATGATGTACGTCTGGCTGAAAGTCAAACCAGTCCACCCGACTATTTGACCGAGGCGGAATTGATTACGTTGATGGAACAACATGGCATAGGTACAGATGCATCAATACCCGTACACATTAATAATATATGTCAGCGTAATTATGTGACCATTGAAAGTGGTCGTAAATTAATACCCACCACATTGGGTATTGTGCTGGTGCATGGCTATCAAAAGGTAAGGAATGCAAGATTTTTTATAAATTAATACCTTATAATTTTGTTTTTATCTTACAGATCGATCCCGAATTGGTCTTACCCACAATGCGTTCAGAGGTGGAGAAGATGTTAAATCTAATTTCCAAAGGCTCTGCCGATTATCATGCCGTTCTGAAACATGCCATCGAAATATTCCGTTTGAAATTTTTATATTTTGTTAAAAACATCTCCAATATGGATAGCCTGTTTGAGGTGTCATTTTCTCCGCTGGCCGAATCGGGTAAATCCCATTCACGCTGTGGCAAATGTCGTCGTTATATGAAATATATACAATCGAAACCAGCCCGCCTTCATTGTTCCCAATGTGATGAAACCTATTCCCTGCCAAATGGTGGTAATGTCAAAGTTTATCGTGAATTCAAATGTCCGTTGGACGATTTCGAACTGTTGGCATTTACCACGGGGGCCAAGGGGCGTTCATATCCCTTTTGTCCCTACTGTTACAATCATCCGCCATTCAGGGATATGCCCAAAAATGCCGGCTGTAATTCGTGTACACATCCCACCTGCCCGCATTCACAAAATAATTTAGGCATATCGGGTTGTGTGGAATGTGAACATGGTGTTTTGGTGTTGGATTGTACGTTGGCGCCCAGTTGGAAGGTTGGTTGCAATAAGTGTGATGTTATCATTAATTGCTTTAAGGGGGCCACCAAGATCACGGTGGAAGGTAAGCATTTATCTTTTAATTAAAAAAAAAACTTTAAAAACTTCTATTTTTTCCTTTTCCCCAGATGACAAATGTGAGGAGTGTGGCGCCCAAACAGTCAACGTGGTCTATAAATCCGATAAAACCAAATTTAAAGATGGCTCGGAGGAGAAATCTGGCTGCATTTTCTGTTCTGCAGATTTTGCAAATTTGGTTGAGAAACATCGTGCCGTGGCCTCTCGCCCTGTGAATATACGCAGCGGTCGTGGAGGGGCACGCGGTGGCAGAGGCGGCAAACCTGGTCGTGGTGGCAGCGGTAGAGGTGGCCGTGGCGGTTCAAGACAACCCAAAGATAAAATGGCCCATTTAGATGCATATTTTGTGTGAGAAGCCAAAATTAAAAAAAAAAAAAATATTGCTAGGGTGTATTTTTTGGGTCTTTCTAAAAAATAGGTTTTGTCATTAAGTCTGTGTGTATTTAAGATATATATTACAAATTTTTTGTAAATCACAAATCCACCCCCACGCCCCTATTTATATATACTTATATATCATGTGTCAATGCATTTCTTCCCCCTACCCTCTTATCCTACATCTCTATTTATTATTGTAGTAGTTTCTCAATTTTTTTATATAAGACATAAAAAAATACATAAGTAAAAGAAGAAAATATATAAATAATATTGATATACAAAACCCTATAGAAAAAAGAGGAGTTTTTTTATAATTACACTACATCGGGATATATTTATAAGATAACTCTTAAAAAAAATTATGTTAATTAAACAGAAGACCAAGACATCTAATAGAATGACTCCTATTTTTTATAGGAGTCCAAAAAACTTTCCATAGAAGGTCAATAATTCTTGTCATTAGAGGTCAGATTTGAGAAAAAACAGCTGACTTTCGCAACCTGGATGACCTTATTGATAGATCTATTAATAAGGACACTCAGCTAGAGAAAGTCAGCTGCTTTTTCTTAAGTCTAATGTTTTTGTTTACGTTTTCATAATAGTAGTCAATTCACCATAACGGATTTTGACAGCAAACTTAAGAGACAGCTGATATCCAGCTGGTCTCCCGGGACGACCTTATTTATAGGGCTTGGGGTTTCGAGGGTTTACATTTTTTTTTAAATTAGACCTGTAGGTTTCCTCGATTCGTTTAATAGGTGTTAAGTCTAAACGACAGATTGTGTTGGATCATTCGAAAAACAATCGGTCTCCAAAAGTTCAAGAACATTTTCAGCTGCTGAATGCTCAATTACTTCCAGTGTCCAATAACGCTTTTATAGACAATGTCATTACCCTGTACTTGCAAAAAAATTACTAATTTGTAAACATAACCTTCAAATAATCAAATGTCTCCGACGCCACTTCTCATCAACGACGACATTGAAACAATAACGCCGAACAAAGAACAAAGCTTTGGGACATTCCCACAATTTCCAACGATGATGTATGTTATTTACCCAAAACAATAGAAACATTTTCCACACAGACCACATATTCACATAGTACATATATGTTTGCTGTATCCAAAAAAACAGCCTTCACTTTGGTCAATGTCAAATTTTATTTGGAAATTGCCGAAAATTTGCACATGAAATTATACAAATTGTTTTAAAAGTGGTAACAGTACTCGAACAAACCTATTATAATATTTTAAATAACACGGTGTTTACACAGAACATTTTTGAGTAAACTGTAGCTAAGTCCACTTTTCCACAGGCAGATTTTTATTTGGCAATTTTTTTGTTTTCTCTTTTGAAATTTTCGCTTGCTTTTCCATTAGCAAATTTTTCTTTGCCAAATTTGCGAATCAAAATACAAAAAAAAAAGAAAAAAAACGTCAAAAGTGTTTGCATTTTAAAAATTTTTTTTAATATTTTATTTATTTTTTATATATTTTATTATATATATATATATTTTATATATATATATATATATATATATAAATTAAAAATTAAATTTCACTTGCACAAATTAAAGCAACAGGTTTGTAAACAAAAGCCGGCCGTGTGTCAGTAAAGCGAATAGGTTCAAAAGGAAATGTCAACAAAATTGTTTTCAACGAACAGAGCAAAGCTGAATTTGCGTGTACGGCAAATTCTGAACAGGCAAATTTTTGTTTTTCTTCCTCGAACCCCTCTCGCCTACAAACTCAGTATTTGCCAAATAAAAATTTGCCTGTGGAAAAGCAGACTAAGGCATCATGGCAAGGCCAATAAATTAGATTCAGGGAGACCAGCTGGTTATCACAGCTGCCTCTCAAGTTTGCTGTCAAAATCCATTATTGTGAATTGACTTCCATTATGAAAACGTAAACAAAAGCCAAATTATTGACATTAAACTTGAGAACTAACAGCTGATTTTCGCTATGGGGTCTTCCAAGATATATTAATAAGGTTACCTTATTGATATGCATTGGATGCTTAAAGTACGTTTAGATTTACAAAATCCACTCGATCTCAAATGTCAATTCCAATGCGTATACGTCAAATCGTGGCATAATTATTCAAGGTAGTCCCATTTGAGAATTTGAGAAGGGAAACCCATTTTTATTTGGATCTCATACATCAATTTCAAATAAAATGACAAATAAATTCCATAAAATTTTATGTGGCATATTTCAATAAATTAAATAAAATATATTTTCTTTAGCTGAACATTGCTCTCAAGATTTAACCATGGTTGTTACAACTTATATTTATATGTTTTAGAGGAAGGGAACTTCTAAATATTTATAATCATAAATGATTATCAATTTTTGTCACTGAACACATGATATGCGTACATTTCGAAGAAAGATATTTTAATTTAAATTTTGAAAGCTGAATACTGTCAAAAGAAAATTTATGGAAAAAATTGGAAACATGTGACTGCATGAGTCTACCTTTTATAATTATGTCATGCAGTTGAGTTTTTAATAAATAGCAATGAATAAATTATGATATAGAAATAGAAATTGAAAATAATCCACTTAATAGTACGTTTACATTATACCGGATTTCATTAACCCAGTGGGTTATAATAGTCAATTCCATTGTATATATGTCAAACAAATCCTCATAATGCCGTTTAATATACGAATGTTCTTCTAATGTATTCTATTGACAATATTATTTAAAAATGATAGATGAGTTCCAAATTAAAAAGGGTTGCCATCATAAATTTCTCAAATGAGGCTACCTTCTGTAATTATGCCATGACTTAACTGGTTGAAAAGTAAAATTTGAAACCTGTTATATAATGAAATAATACATTTTGTCTGAAATCTCCTTGTAATATTGACATATAAATTTCATTTTCCAAAGAATATATTCTATCCAAGATCTATTAATAAGGTCAACCAGGTTATCGAAAATCAGCTGTTATTTCTCAAGTATATTGTCAAAAATTTGGACTTTGTTTAGCAGCTGACTTTCTCTAGCTGGATGACCTTATTAATAGATCTTGGATAGAATATATTCATTGGAAAATGAAATTTATTTGACAAATTTGAGAGACAGTTCATATCCAGCTGGCCTTCCTCAATGACCTTATTATTAGGTCTTCGTTCTATCTATGATTCGGATAAAAAAATGTTTCCCCATCTACCAAAAATCAAGTGATTTCATTTTTATTCAATCTCAAAATGCACATTGTCCTATGTAAACGTTTGAAATTAACCGCCAATCCACAAAAGCTCCAAAATATAATTCTTCAATATCTCAATTACATTTCAAAGCCAATAAAATTGAGTCATCTTGGCAGTTTCTAAAATAAAATTCAATAATTCCTTTCATTCAAAAATTCAACGATCTCATTTTCTATGTAAATGATTTGAAAATAATAATAAATTACAACAAAACCAAACAAACAAAAATCTTTTTGCAAATCTCTTAATCTCAGACTCAACATCAAAAGATTTGTACGAACAAAAATTTATTTATGTTATTTAATTCCGACATGTCCGAACATTGTCCGGCGCACATGCTTACAAGCTAAACTGCAGCACTTGTGTGGCTGTTAATGTGACATATGTGATTGTGATTTTTAAAATAAAATACATTTTGTATTTTTGTTGTTGTTATTTGTTATTACTCTTGTCTTGCTAAATGTCTCCATTGTGTTTTTGGTTGCACCGTGTGCAATATTTATGTTTATAACATAATTAAGTACCGATTGAAATCATCGGTAACGTCATTCGGCAATGACAATAACGATGTTTAAATTGTCATCATCATCGCCGCCGCCGCCATCATTGTGATTGTGTTTCCGTTTAAAATTCATAAATTTGTTTTGTGTAAAAAAAATTGTAGGAGTTTTGTACAAAAAAAATAATAAACAAATATTGGAAGTTGACCACTACACCTGTGTGCTTTTACACACCATACCGATGTGGGATAAGTTCTGGAGTGATGACTAATGTGGAATCTCAATAGCAGATTAAAAATCAGCTGTTGGTAATAGACAATTATTACTGAGCATGTTTTCCTTGTAAGAAAGTGTGTTCGTTTAATTTATTTTTTTTAATTTTTAAGCATCTGGTCATGGCATAATTATACAAGGTAGTCTCATGCAGTCATATGTTTCCAATTTTTTCATAAATTTGCCTTTGACAGCATTCAGCTTTCAAAATGTAAACGAAAATATCTTCCTTCAAATGTACGCATATCATGTGTTCAGTAAAAATTGCTAATAATTTATAATTATAAATATTTTGAAGCTCTCTTCCTCTAAAACTTATAAATATAAGGTGTAACAACCATGTTTAAATCTTGAGAGCAATGTTCAGCCATAGAAAATATATTTTGTTTAATTTTTTGAAAATATGCCAACCGACATACATAAAATTTTATGAAATTTATTTATTATTTAAAATTGATAGATGAGTTCCAAGTTAAAAAGGTTGCCATCATAAAATGCTCAAATGAGTCTACCTTCTGTAATTATGTCATGAACGTATTCTTTGAAAATGTAATTTATTTGACATATATTGCTAGGACAAACCCGTTGAGTTTTAAATAAATAGCAATGAAGAACTTATATAAATGTTGTTCATTTATCGAAAAGTCCTATAAAAGAAAGTGAATTGAGAGAGAGCTACTGAGTATTTTCAAATTCCTACAAGCAAAATTTACTCAGTAAGAATTTTCTTGTGCCTTCAGCTGATATCTAATCAGCTGTTTTATTATGTTTTGTAAAAAAAACTAAAAAAATTGTTCTCAAGCAAATTGATTTGTTTTGTGAATTTTGAGAACTACTCTCTATAAATTCTTACTGAGGATATGTTACTGGGAAAGTAATCGAGCGAACATAACAAAATCTATTAATAAGGTCACCCAGCTATCAAAAGTCAGCTGTTTTTTTTTCTCAAGTCTAATGTCAAAAAGTTGGCCTTTGTTTA